TACTGAGTACACACGTAAAGACTGTTTAATTCATACTGGAAGCCGGAGGGCGCTCTTGCACAGAAACTCCACGTATGCATCACAGAAGTAATAACACTGACAACGCTCCAGGAAATCCCTAATATGGACAAAGGCATCCAGATATCGCTGAATAAAATGCAAATAGAGAAATTTTAACTGAGGAAACTTGAAGACAATAAGCATACGATTGCACAAATTATATGGTATCTGTGTTCTTCAAGCAATCTTTGGTATTTTTTATAAGGAAAGTGTATTTATAATGCAATGCTAATCGAGATAACCTTTATCGCTGTATATAATACTATCATTGTGTATTATGAAACCACGTCTGGTCACAAAAATAAGTTATTTCAAACACTTGACTATGTTATTAAGTTAATTTAGAGAAAAAGCATGTCAATAAATTATATCTTTGTTGGACAACAGGTTTGTAAACAGACTCATACACATGCAGAACTGTATCACACACATGCTACTGTACTACATTTATTCAGACAGATTTTTTGTGCACTGCACAGCCCTGACCAAACCAGCTCCAGATTGAAGAAGGAGCTCCTCCTTTAGCGATAAACTCCTCGATTTCACGTCCGCCATGTCACACAGAAATATGTCAACATGTCGTTATTATCACAGGAAGACTAATTCTTACCGTGGGGAGAATTGTTAATGGTATATGTCAAACGATGAGATCTGGCCCCTCGCTAATGGTGAGTGAGGCGCTCCTGTCCTCAGCTCGGCTGATGTGTGTGTGTGTGTTGTGTTGAAGGGCATGGAGGACGAGCAGGTGAAGTCTGCAGCCATGGACATCTTCTCTTACCTGGTGGAGTTCAGTCCGTCTGTGGTGCGCGAGTTCATCATGCAGGAGCCGCAGCAGGCCGACGACGTGAGTATCAGCATCTCCCTGTGTGTGACTGCAGCACTGAACCTGTGCTTCAGAGCAGGAGAGAGCCCTGCAGACGTTATACACGCGTCTAACTAATCACTCCAGCTGTTTAACAATAAGGAGATGTTTGGCGTGAGGGGCAGACGATGTGACTGTGTAATGTTGTGTAACGTATGAGCATGAGCAGGATAAAGACATTGATGTGGATCAGAGCTGAAGTGTGGATGTTTCATGCAAACAAGCTGCACTCTCCAGGATTGATGAGCTGCAGATCATTGAAATACAGCAGCAGTTCCTCATCTGTGGCGGGTCGGTTGCCGTTTAATGCTCTACTGGTGCTGAGTGTTGATGCAGATTCTGATTCACAAGCTCTCAGTTCCACTCTGCTCTGGATTAATTCATTTAGAAATATTTCAGGCAATGTCGCTTTTGTCTTAAAGAAATAGTTCACCCAAAACTGAAAATGGTCGTCATTTACTCTATTTCATATCATTCCAGACACAAGACTTTAGTTCATCTTCACAACACAAATTAAGATATTTTTATTATTTTTTTATTGTTGTCCATCCACTGAAAGACAAAGCAGAATTCCAGAATTCCACACATTAAAAAGACATTGTAAAAGTAATCCATATAAATGGAGCCGTGTATTCCACACAGTTTTAATCTAGGCGTTTATAAACATTGATCAACATGTAACTTCATTAATGGACACTCAGCTGTACTTGTGTGTGTGTGTTGATCAGTGTTTATATGTGAATATTAATATTAAGGCTTGTCCACTCGTTCTCCATATTTATGCTGGTGAAGTAATGACTGTGAATACAAAAATACAGGAACAGAGATAATGGAGTTTCTTGCTGAAATCATTTACAGAATGACTCTTGCTCTCATGACGGATTTATTCAGACATACATAAAACCATTAAGACATCACTAACAGGTTAAGTAAAACATCATTCTGTATTTTGACGTCTATACAGGGATCTGTCACAACACAATAAAGAGCACCGAAATGGCTTCGTGATAAAATGACCAGAATGTAAAATGTGAGACTTGAAGCATTGCTACAACCATGTTTAGTGAGGCTTTATTCGCCTGTCAGTTGAAAACAGCTCAGATTAAGAGATCTAATTTGGGATTTAAGAGTTGAAGTCACAGTGCATCATGAAGCGGGTGTGTTTGTGTTCAGGACGTGCTGCTGATTAACGTGGTGATCAAGCAGATGATCTGTGATTCGGACCCAGAGCTGGGTGGTGCAGTGCAGCTCATGGGGCTCCTGAGGACCCTCATGGACCCCGAGAACATGCTCGCTCCGGCCAGCGTGAGTACAGCCTGACACGCTCTCACAGCTAACACTTTCACTTCTGACTCGCCAGAAACTCGCCTCCCTTTCCCAAAGTTCACACTTGTGCCTGGACGAGCAGAAGAGCATCCTCAGTCACTTCTGTGTGTGTGTGTGTGTGTGTTTGGACAGAAAGCAGAGAAGAGTGAGTTCCTGAGCTTCTTCTACAAGTACTGTATGCACGTGCTGACGGCTCCACTGCTGGCTAACACCGGCGAGGAGGACCCAGGTGAGACACGCGCCTGCTCCGCTGCTGCAGTGAGCCGTCTGTGAGCGCACATATCAACACGTGTCTGTCTGTCCACAGATCTGATGGAGGGAGCGGCTAAACCCAACCCCGTGTGTCCAGGTACCGTCTCCTCTCACCTGAGCTCACTCCTCTCCCGTCTGCTCGAGAGGTCTTCTCGGGACATGCATGAATTCTGTTTTTAAAGAAAGACCCGCCCCGAGACAGACCCTGATGAAATTAGACCCGAGTCCGAGTATTGCTGGGAAAATAAATCAATGCATCGCGAATGGAGAAATGATTCGGCATCGATTCTGAGATTTTCCCAATGCTTTCTCGAGTGTATTCTCAGCTTAGTGTTGAACAGCAGATGGCACTGCATGCTTTAGAAACAGCTGTACTCTCTGCTTGAGGTGAAATTACAGACTCACCCCTTGTCCAAATACCCACACTTGCGGTCTTGGCCA